GAGGGAAGAATCCCCACCTGCATGTGCGAGTCACAGTTTGCTATCGGAGTTCTCGAATGTGAAAACAAAGTCAGATTGTCTCCTACACAAATGCATGCTCAATGTCCCGTGTGGAAGATCCAGGTCAGACCATTACCCTTAAGGGCATAGCCAGAATTCCAATGTTGCCTTCAGCTAGCTGCTTTCCCGGGGTACCCAGCAAGTGACCATAGCGGTTGTGGCCGAGGGGGCGAGGTCCCAGAAAGCCATTCACGGTTTAACAAAGCCCGGCCCAGGCATGAAAGCAGAGATAATGGGAGCTCTGGCTCTCGAGCTCCCCTGCAGGGCGGGGCCCACCGGCTCCGCCTCCCGCACAGGGGGCGGGCACAGCGCGGGGCCGGGGGCGGAGCGCGGTGGGGAAGGCGGCACCCGGGGCGGGGGCTCACCCTAGGAAGGGGCTGACCAGCTGCAGGAGCTCGGAGCCCGACACCAGCTCCTGGTTGAAGAGCGCGATGCAGCGCAGGAAGTTCTCGTACACCTCCTGGCTCTTGAGCACGCGGCGCACCTGCGGGGGCGGGGGCGGCTCAGCTCCGGCGGGGCGGGGCCAGGGGCTCAGCCCCCCTCACCAGGGCCCCCACCGCCCTGCCGACCTTGTCGAAGAAGGAGAACTCCTGCAGGGTCCCGTACTTCCCCACGGCCGCGATGGACAGGTCCTTGTTCCCACGAAGCTTCATCTTCTTCTGCGGAGACGAGCGCGCCGCTCAGGCCCGCCGCCCAGGCCCGCCGCCCGCCTCTGGGGCCCGGGGACCCCGGCGCCCGCAGCCCCTGCCCGTTACCTTGGCCGGCGCCGACACGGGCCGGAGCAGCGAGGGCCGCGAGCGCTTTTTGCTGTGCTCCAAGCCCCTCTCGTGTCCGGCCTTGGGGACGCTGCTCGTCTCGCACGGCCCGTTTCCTGTGAACTGAGGACGGGGCGTGGGGTGGTCAGCGAGGGGGCCGGGTTGCGGCGGGGGAGGAAGAGGGGCCCGGAGCCCCGCAGGCAGGCGCCTGTGAAGCCAGAAGCTGCCGGAGGTGCTCCCCGCCGAGGCCACCCCACCGCCTGCACGTGAGCGCCCCGGAAATGGGGGGGAGGGGCTGCTGTGCACCAGGCCACCGATGGGAGCCTGGACACCAAGGTTTGGGCTCTTTCCTTTAGAAAAAAAAGTTCTCTACTTTTACTTATTTCAAAAGTGACAGCACGCCCGCCAGCCGTCCACAACAGCCAGCGCTGGAGCCAGGAGCCAGGAGCTCCATCCGGGTCTCCCACGTGGGGGCGGGGCCTGCCCAGGTACATTTGCAGGGAGCTGGGTGGGAAGTGGAGCCAGGTGCTCTGCTGTGGGATGCGGGCGTCTTACCCACCGCACCCGACACGGCCGGGCTCTCTCCTCTGTGGGACATAAGGGGGCTGGGCCGGGAGCTGGTGGGGGGCCTGCTTCCTGGGCTGGCTGCCAGCCCTTGCTTCTCCCCAGCGGGCACCCGGGCCTACACAAGCGGCTCTGGAATGGCCGACTCAGCACCAGGATCTTCACCCGCAGTGCGGGCCACACAGCGGCAGCGTGGCCCAGTGGGGAAGCCGCCCGCGGCGCCGGCAGGCATCCCCATGTGGGCGCTGCTCCGAGTCCCGGCTGCTCCACTTCTGATCCAGCTCCCTGCCATGGCCTGGGAAAGCAGTGGTTGCTCCTGCACCCGCGTGGGAGACCCGGATGGTTGCTGGCTTTGGACCGGCCCAGCTCTTTCTCAACGCACAAGGGCGCTCTTGTGCCCGAGTCACTAACGATGCTACACTGACTTTGTTCCTGGGCGATGCGGCTGCCGCATCGGAAGGGCCGCCTGGCGAAGGCTGAGTTGCGCCCACCAGAGGGCGCTGTGGCCACAGCCACCAGAGAACCAAAGTGCCCCCCGCCCCCGACACCCACTGGGCAGGAACAGATCGGCCGGCCTGTTTCCCCCATGGCAGTGTCCACTGTGCACGCCCCACAGCCCAGTAGACGGAGCCCCACGTGCAACACTGACCCCAGGACACGGGGGGGGGGTCACTCCGGCCGGGGCTTCCCTAAGCAAACTTTTCTCCGCCTCCTCCCCGCGGCCCACAGGGGGCGCTGATCCCCCAGGCTCCTACCCCAGCGCCTCCCCTCCGGGAGGCAGCCACAGCACCTCCTGAGACCGTGAGGGCCAGACCGCCCTGCCCGCTCAGTGCTGCAGCGATGGCTTGGGGAGCCCAGCGTGGACACCGCAGGTCCCATCTGGGGGCAGCGTGCTAGGCGGAGCGCTGCAGGTGTGGGACACAGCGGTGACACCCAGACCCAGGGGGGACCACCCACAAACAACACCCAGCGGCCCCGGGGACAGCGGGGGGACACGGGGGCCCACATGGCCCACCACGCGGCTGCGCCACACAGGCAGGCCTTGAGACCCGTCTGCTCCGCGGGTACCGAGTCCCTGGAGCGGGCAGGCAGCCAGGGCCCCAGGAAGAGGCAGGGGACAGGGCAGATTCTGAACTTGAGAGCGGGCAGGGCCCGGACTTCAGGGGAAGGCGCATCAGAGGGCAGGGGGCTGGGACACAGGCTTGCAGAAGAGGGCCGTCCCTGTCCCTGAGGGGCTCCCGCAGCCCCGCCTCCAGTACTCCCGGGGGTCTCCCCCAGGCCAGGCAGGGCGAAGCCTGCAAGCTCCAGCCCACACCTGCTTCTGCACGAGGGCCCAGCGTCTACACCTGCTTCTCCTGCGTGAGGGCCCAGCGTCTACACCTGCTTCTCCTGCGTGAGGGCCCCGCGTCTACACCTGCTTCTCCTGCATGAGGGCCCCGCGTCTACACCTGCTTCTCCTGCATGAGGGCCCAACGTCTACACCTGCTTCTCTATCACAAATGCCCAGCATGTACACCTCCTCCTGCACGAGTGCCCGTGTCTACACCTGCTTCTCCGGCAAGAACGCTACTGCCCTGCTGGGTCCCCACATGACAGGGAGCCGACACACGGCCTGGGGGGTCAGGAGGGCTGGGGCCCCCAGAGTCCAGGCCCTTGAGGGCACCCAGCTCCAGGCACTAGGATGGGGCCAGAGAAGAGACGGAGGTTGTCCAACCCTGTGAGTGCCCCAAACGCCACTTGGAGATGGTGAATTTTGTTGCCTGAATTCCACAACAATAAAAGGAAAAAACCAAAATTGCAGGCTCACTGGAAAGAGGGTGAGAAAAGAGGAAGTGGACAAGACAGCACCGGCAGCGGCCTGCCCCCTCTCCCCCCACCCCCACACTCCCATCCACCCCGAGGCCGGCCCCAGTCCCACCCAGCACCTGAGAGGTGGTGGCCACCCCCGCCCCCAGCGCCAGTTTAAGAACCACTGCGGGTGGAGTGGCCACACGGTGCAGCCGGCGCGGGCTGGGGGCAGCCCACGGGTCCAGGCGGTGTGCTGGCCTGGCGCGGGCCCGGGCACTCACCAGGGAGCGCTTGGCTTCAGGCAGGAACTGGCCGAACTCGGAGAGCAGGTCCTCCTGGCCGCGGAAGAGGCTGGCCACCTCGGCGAACACCTCCTCCTCCGACATGCCACGGAACGGCCGGCCCTTGGCACCCAGCTGCTCCTTCTGCCGCCCGGGGAGGCAAGGGGGCGGGGAGGGAGCGTCAGCCGGGGGGCCGGGCTCCCCGGGGCCTGCACGAGGCGGAAGCCTCCGGGGACCGGCCGGTGCACAGCCGTCTCAGCCCCGGCCGCGGATGGGCACCTGGGGGCTGGGGAACCACAAGGTCAGAGTCGGGCGCACAGACGCTCCCACGCAGAAGGCATGGGGAGCCAGCAGCGGGCCACGCTGGGCAGGCGGCCCGACCAGATCAAGGCAGTGACCGGCACCGGGGGGCCGAGGCCAGAGGCCAGGAACCAGCCAGCTGCACTCAAGCTGGCAGTCAGAACATGAGGGAACTTCAAACAGGTTACCCAAAAAGCGAATTAAAAGGTATGTTTCATGGGGCTGGCATTGAGGCATCCCATATGGGCATCAGTTCGAGTCCCAGCTGCCCCACTTCTGATCCAGCTCCGTGCAGTGGCCCAGGAGGGCAGAGGAGGATGGCCCAAGTGCTTGGGCCCCTGCACCCACGTGGGAGACCCGGATGGAGCTCCTGGCTCTGGCCTGGCCCAGCTCTAGCCATTGCGGCCAACTGGGGAGTGAACCAGTGGGTGGAAGCGCTCTGTGTCTCCCTCTTTTATTTGGAAGTCAGTTATGCAAGCTTGCTCCTTTGACTGTAGTACAAAAGAAAGCAGTGAGGGTGACGCTGTGCCTGGCAGGGAGTCTGCCCTGCCTGGGCAGGAGGTGGACAGCCGGGAGCCCCAGGCCTCCTGGAGGGGCCCCACACCCTGACTGCTGGCAGGCGGGGCCCCCAGGCACTTTTCCCCACCTGGCTCCCTGTAACAGGGAGCTCCCGGGTGTGGCACAGGCCCATCAGGACCACCTGGGGTGCTAGCCGAGCTCCGTGACCTTGGGGCTGATTGGAGAAGCAGAGCGGCACCCATATCCCATATCGGTTCTCTCCTATAGGGTGAGCGCTGCCCTGAGTTAGCCACACCCCCTCCGCCTGTGTGGTGGGTAACTTGTCTCCGGTGTTTCTCGTGGAAGAACGCCGTGGCCCCACCATCCCAGCAGTGCCGGGGCCTCGCGGCTCGAGCCCGCACAACCCCTGCCTGCAGCGCCGGCATCCCATACAGGTGCAGGTTCGAGTCCCGGCTGCTGCACTTCCGCTCAGCATGGTGACTTTTACGTCCTATATACCTGAGCACGGTGCAAAGAAATATGGCCCGGGAGCCGCCCGGAGCCGGCGTACCTGGTAGGTGTGCAGGATCTCCAGGAAGGAGCGGTAGATCTCGGGGTGGTCCAGGAAGCGGGTCTTGATCTTGTTCACGTAGCTGATGGCGTTGTTGAACTCCACCGAGTCGGACTCCAGCGCCTGCGGTCGGTCCTCCTTGTACGGCGCAGGCTGCTTGACATCCCCCGCGCAGTCCCCGTGGCCGTGTCCATGCGCGTCCTCCTGCAGCGACAGGCAAGGAGACGGGGAGTTACCCCTCGCTGACACCCGGCACACAGCCTAGAACTTTCTACGGGACACCGAGGTTACTCCTGGGGGGCTCGAAGGGGGCACCAACGGAACAGGCTCACGGCCAGCAGAGACTGCCCCCCAACACTTCCCAGCCCTGCTCTGGGAACCCCGCGAGGACTTCGCACGCGTGGGAGAAATGTCCAATCCTCTGCTGAGTTTTGGGCCATCTGGGAAGGCAGCCTTCTAGCACCTTCTAAGACGGGAAGGGGAGGGACCCTCTGCTGTCAGCACTGCCCGACACCAAACCTGCTACCGACGACCTGGAGAAGCCTGGGGCAGGCAAGGCCAGGTGCACCGCCCCCCGCCCCTCCCCCGTGGAGTTGTCATGGCAACAGGGGCGGTGATGGGGGGTGGGGGTGTCCTTGGCCACAGCCGCAAAGTTTCACAGGTGGGAGGCGGGGTCGAAGCAGCACGAAGCCGTTTTCCAAGCCGCTCAGAGGGCGTGGGGAAGCCCAGAGGTTCCCGCGTAGCCGCTCAGTCTCCCCCCTGCGCGCGTGCGTCTGCGTCCCTTCACCCTCTACTGCCACGGACGCTGGGTAGGGCCGCCCCCCAGCAGCCATGGGCGGGAGCTCTGGCGAGGCCCCCTGCGGGCTCCAACACCTGCCAAGGCACGGGTGCCCTCTAAGGAAGGGGCGTGGCCTTGGCGTAGACGGGGGTGGGGGCGTCTCGGGACGACCTGCGGGCGCTGAGGCGGCTCGAGCGTCCCGCCGCGAGGTTCTGGACAGGTGTGGCCTTTCCCCTAGTGCGTTTCCACCGGCAGCCGGCTGGCTCCGCCGACGTGGACACAGTGGGGGAGGTGGTGGGTGCTGTGAGCCTCGGTTCTGTGCCCGCCGCTGCTGTCCCCCGCCCCGCATCCCCAGAGAGGATGAGAGGAGGTCCAAGTTCACGGCCCCACGGTCGGCGTCCACTGAACGCAGATGGCTTCCGCAGCGTGCCCGAGAGAAACCATAACCAGAGAGTCCCAGGTGCAGACCCGCTGCCTGCTCCGGAGGAACAAGAAACAGCCGCCCAGACAGCCCACGCCAGTGTTCTCAACGGCGCAACAAGAGGTTCTGGGAACACCCCCAGCCTCCGGCCGCGGGTGAACAGACAAACGAGGTGGCCCAGCCGCCCACAGAACACCACTCGGCCACAGTAGGGGCCAGCGCTAGCGCCTCGGGGGCCTGGAAACCGTCCACGGCCTGGGGTTGCACGGACCGAACGTCCAGAACACGCAAATCCACGGCGACCGGGAGCCGTGGAGGGGCTGCAGGGCGAGAGTGGGGTGGCAGGAATGTTCTGGAATCAGGGGCGAGGATGCTAAAACCCCACCGCACAGGGCACACCCCCACGGGCGGGTGGGCCAGTTTCACGCCAGGCGGCTTCAACATGCGCCTTGGAAAACGCAGGCTCACAGGGGCCGTGGCCCTCAGGCCCCAGGAAGTTCCGGAATAAGCCAGCACTCCCCTCACTGGGTCAGGAGCTGCCTGGTGAGGACGACGCGTCCACCCCAGCCCTGTCGGAATTGCAGGGGGCAGCTCAGGCCCACCTGGCGCACACACAGGCCACCTAGTGCACACGCTACCACCACCTTGCACACACGCACACACCACAGCGCCGGCCCCAGTGAACTCTTAAAACCTTCTTCCCATGCGAGAGCCCTGGAGGAGCGGACACCCAGAGCAACTGCTTCTCCGTGCGGCTGTCTAGATTGGGGCATAGAAACCGGAAGTTGTGGAGCCGACCGTGCCGCGTCACGGCATCCACCCAGCGCACACCACCTAGAGCACGCACTACCAGCACCTAGCCGAGCGCCACCTAGCAGAGCGGCCTTCGGGCCAGCCTCACAGGACCTCGGCAGAGACCTTGACCTCGCCCGGAGGAACAGGCACCGCGCAGCCACCGCAAGTCTCGGCACCGACTGCCACACCTGCTGTCCCCATCACACGGGGCCTCCGCGGGGCTCATGACCGACGCCTCAGACCACAGGAGGCCCCTCGCACCCCTCCGTCCACAGTCAGCGTAGCACCTGCCCCCGCCCCAGCGGCCCCACCCACCACGCCCCCTCCTTGGCCTGTCCCATCCGTCACGGCGGCCGGCACAGACGCCCCGCCCACGGCCCGTGCGTGCGCGAGGCCGCGCAGGCCCAAGGGCTCGGGCGCTTGAGAACCTGGGCCTGGCCTGCTGGGAACCTCTGCAGCCCCGATCCCGGCCGCACTGCACGTCACAGGTCTGCACCGGCCGGGGGCTCCACCCACACCCGGTCCCCATGCCTGGCCTGGACGCCGCCCCCAGGGGCCGAGGCGGGAGGTGGTACCGCCCTGAGGACTCACGGCTGGCGGCGCAGGCAAAGCGAGCAGCAGCACCCCTGTCAGGCCCCTTCCCACCTCAGCGGCTCTGAAGACGCGGGACTCAGCGTGAGGGGGCTCGTGGGGGGAGGCTCCTCTGAGCGAATGGGGTGGGCATCCGAAATTAAGACCCCTGCGCCACGGATGGGAGTGCCTGGGGTCACGTCCTGCTCCGGCCCCGCCTCCCAGCCTCCTGCGGACGTCCACCCTGGGAGGCTCAAGACCCCTGCCCCCACGGGAGAGATGAGACTGAGCTCCTGGCTCCCAGCCCAGCGCTCTCCTTGCCCTGGGAGGGGGGTGCGTGTGTGTGTGTGTGTGTGTGTGTGTGTGTCCAGGGGCACCTAGGCTGTGCGGCTGGCGCAGCCCTACCCCCCACCCCCCGGCCGCTCCGGAACGCCGATGAGAAATGAAAGCGACACAAAGCAAAGCTTGTCCGTGTTTTGGGAGGCTGACAACCCAATCAGAAATGACCAGCGCCAGGGCACGGGCGGGGCGGCTGCTCGCGGGGAACTCCAGGGCTCACGTCGCCTGCATCTGTCGTAAGCCACCGGAGGTCACGGCCTGGACTACTGAGGAGCAGGAGGCTGAAAGGGCCCGGCCCCCGGGCGCCCCTGCGGGGGGGACACCTGTCCAGGTGAGAGAGGAGGCGGCTCAGCGGCTTCCGGCTGCAGCGAGAGGCGCCCCGTCACATAGCTACACAAGGCAAAGTCCTGACCTCACAGCCTGGGGGCGCTCTGGTCACCTCCACCCCCTGGGGAGGGGACAGGATCGTGCCCGCTCTCGTCATCTGGACAGCAGCCCTGGGGGACAGCGGGGCCCTGGGACTACTGCCGGGAGGCACCCACTCCCAGTAACCCTCCTGGTGCGGCTCCTGCCGAGACCTGGCCCAGGGAAGTGGGGTGACTCCCCCACTTAGGGGGGTTAGAGGTGGTGAGAGCTGTGAGCAGGCGAGGGTGGGGACATCTGGGATGCCCCGGTGTGTACAGGGCATGCAGACACGGGCGACGCTGCTGCCCCACACTGGGGAGCTGAACCCGCTAAGGCTCTGGCGGTCTGAAGCCCCGGCCCCGTCTCCAAGCCTCTCCCCATGGAGACGCAGGCCGTGGCTCAGTCCTCAGTGGCGAGGGGGCGGTGCTGCTGTGTGGGCAAGCCGGGTTTACACGTGCACCGTGCACACATGGGGAGGGGCTGGCCCCGGGCACGTCCCCGCGAGCTGCTCTCTGCCCAGGTCCTGATTCCCGGACACATCGGCCCCTCTGCAGCCTCCACCCGGTGCTTCCAGACCTGCCCCTCGCTGACGGGGCGGGGCATGGGCTGGAGGCGGAGCCGGCTCCCTCACACCAGCGGGGAATACTGGGGAGGGGGCGGGGCAGGGACGCTGCCAGCCATGCCGCAGGTGGCAACAGCAGGAGGTGCAGGCAAAGCCCTCGGTCACCTCCCGCACCTGCAGCTAGGCGGCCCCTCGTTGCGTCCCAGGGGCCGGGAGACCGGGCAGCTGTCACCCCGAGACAGAAGGAGCCGTGGCCAACAAGCCTGAGCTGAGCCAGTGCCCCTAGGAGCAATTAAACGAAGCAAAGCTGCTTGCACGCGCGCGTGCACACACACACCCTCGAGCCTGCCTGGCACGCTTGGGAAAGCCGCACGCCACGGCTTCACGTGGCGTTTCCGGCTCTGACGTGAGATTCCGTGTCGGCAGGACGCCGCCCCGAGATCTTCCACACAGACCAGTCAGGAGCCCAGGGATGCGCGTGGAGGTGACCCCGCCTACTCTGATCGGGTGCTGGGAGCCGCGCCTGGGCAGCAGCAGGCCAAGGCCACGCCCGCCCGCCCGCCCGCCCCGCCCCACCTGCCCCGCCCTCCCGCGCGTACCTGGCCTGACGGGGGCGACTGCACATTCAGCTTGCCATTCTTGGGGATGTCGATCCTGTACCCCAGCGGCAGGAAGGCGTTGAACCCCACGATGAGGTCGGGGTGCTCGTGGAAGAGCTGCGACACGCGCCTGATGACTCCGGGGGTGTCGATGCTGCGGGAGGGGCAGACACGGCGGCCGGTGGGCCGGGGAAGAGCCCCGCGCCTCCGCTCCCCTGCAAACCCGCCCCTCGGGCTACCAGGGAGAGGGGTCTCGGGGCTCAGCTCCCCCAGACGCTGCTGGCCACGCACTCTGTGAACAGCAGAAGGGCCCGCCGCCTGGCTGGGGACGCCACGTGCTCAACCCCACGGTACCGGATTGTGACACAGGCTCCCATCAGAGCAACGGGATTGCGACAAAGTATGGGAGGCGCGGGAAGAACGCCAGGGCAGAGGCCCCCCCCCCCCCCCCCTGTGCCGGGCCCCCGCAGGAGCGGCCCAGAAAGGAAACCTGTCCAGCCGGGTTTCCGCGAGTCGCGGGGACAGGACCCGCGGGCCACGGCCTGCGCCGCCCGCATCCCACATGGCAGCCCCACTCCAGACCCCGGCGCAGCGAAGGAAGACTTGGGGGTCCCTGCACCCACGTGGGAGACCCGGATGGAGCTCCCGGCTCCTGGCTCCAGCCTGGCCCAGCCCTGGCTGCTGCAGCCATTTGGGGAGTGACCCAGCGGATGGACGCTCGCTCTCGCGCGCATGCGCTCTCTCTCTCACGCGAATAAATAAGAAAACAGTACACACCTGAGGGTCTGGGCCCCCTCTACCTCCAGCTTACCAAGACAGCGTTCCCAACAGTCTGGGCGCGTGGCAGGTCCCTCCCTAAGCCTTTGGTACCCCTTACTTCTGAGCAGCCCCGGGGCTAGCGGGAGCCAATGAGGACCAAACTGAACTTTTCAAAACCAGCATTTTAAAATAAGAGACCCCAACCTCGCACCCCCTCCCCCAATCGTGGCTACAACTCCTTCCCCAATTTTTTTTGGGTTTTTTTTGGAGGGGTCGAAGCCCCGGGAGATGAACCCCTTGTGCAAGGTCACCCCGCTGGGAGGCGGCCCGGGGAGCCGGGTCCCCCAGTCTGCTTGGCCCGATTCCAGCCCGCGGCGGGGGGTGGGATGGGGATGGGGGGTCCCGGGTACCTCTGGCTTTTGAACTCCTTCATGATCTCCAGGAAGCCGTTGTAGGTAGCAGGGTCGCTGCCGAAACGGATCTTCACCTGGTCCAGGTAAGTCAGCGCGTCCTCGACCTGCGGGAACGGGGAGGGTCCCGGTGGGCAGGGGTCGCGGGGGCGGGCAAGGCACGGGACGGCGGGGTCCCGGGCAGCAAGGGCAGCGGGCTGCGCCTCCGAGGGGTCGGTCTGGGGTCCGGAGTCCCGGGCTGCGCAGAGGGGAGGCCGAAGCGGGGCCGGGTGGGGCCGGGGTGAGGGGGCGCAGGCCGCGGGGGCCGCGCGACGGGGGTCCCCGAAGGCAGGCAGGGGGTGCCACTCACATGCACGGGCAGCTTCTCGTGGCCCGCGGAGCCCGAGCGACCCCAGCGGGCGCCGCTCAGCCCTCGGCCCGCGGAGCCCCCGACGCCGCTGCCGCCACCCGCGTGCGCCATGTTGGAAGTCAGAGCCGAAGCCCGCCCCGCCTCCGCTGAGTCCCCGGTCGCGCACGCGCGGCTCCTCCCCGGGGCGGGGCCGATGACGTCGAGGAGTGGGCGGGGCCCTGGGGCAGGTGTAGTTCTGGAAGTTGGAGGTCCTGGCTGCTGACTGACAGAGCAGAGCAGGGGCTAAGCGTTTGTCAGGCCCCGCTTGATGGAAGAAAATTCTGTGTTTGTAAATAAAGTTTTATTGAAACACAGGCCCGAGCACTGGCTGCTTTCGCCCAGTAGCAGCAGAGCAGCCGCGACCCCTGCCCACGGGGACCCCCCCCTTGCTGGCTCTATGGAAGACGTGTGTGGCTCCCCTGCTGTGCAGGGCTTGAAGTGACCCTGGGGTACAGGCCTGAAGCACCCCGGGGCCTGCTCGGGGCCGTTTTGGCTACAAGGTCCTTGACTTTGCCCCTTTCCTCCTCTCTCCACTTCCCGTCTCCCCATCATTTTGCAGCTGGACCCGCTCCGGGGCCGCCAAACCAGAGTTCCCGAACTCGGTGCTCTTGTGGACTTGCGTCAGGAGTGGGCATTTGGAGTGAACCAGCAGAAGGAAGACACCTCTCTCCCTCCCTCTCCCTCTCTCTCTCTCTTCCCCCTGCCCCCACCCTGTCGTTTTGGCTTCCGAATAATCCTTTAAAAAATAGCCTGGTCCCCTCATCATCTAGAAAACACAACCCAAACTAGACTCGTCTTTTTATTTTTATTAAAGATTTCTTTATTTATTTGAAAGTCAGAGTTACACAGAGAGAGGAGAGGCAGAGCGAAAGAGAGAGAGAGAGAGAGGTCTTCCATCTGCTGATTCACTCCCCAATTGGCCGCAACGGCCAGAGCTGCGCTGATCTGAAGCCAGGAGCCAGGAGCTCCAACCGGGTCTCCCACATGAGTGCAGGGGCCCAAGCACTTGGGCCATTTTCTACTGCTTTCCCAGGCCACAGCAGAGAGCTGGATTGGAAAAGGAGCAGCCAGGACTAGAACCCGCGCCCATATGGGATGCTGGCGCTTCAGGCCAGGGCGTTAACCCACTGCGCCACAGCGCTGGCCGCTTTATTTTTACTTTTTAGTATTTCTATTTGAAAGACGGAGATCTTACATCCACTGGTTCATTCCCCCCCCCAACCCCCCCAGCCCAGGTTGGGCCAGGTCAAAGCCAAGAGGGAGACTCCACCCAGGTCTCCCAAGGGGGTGGCAGGGACCCACGCACACACACCCCCCAGGGTGCACATCAGCGGGGAGCAGAGCTGGGGCTGGAAGCAGGTGCTCCGATGGGCGACGCAGGCGTCCCCAGCGGCGGCGTAACCACCGCACCCCAATACCTGCCCTAGCAAACCCAGTGCTGACCTGAGCTCTCTGGAGTCCCAGCCCCCACGTGGGAGCTGCGGGAAAGTGGAGGCTGCGTCAGCTCGGAGCGCATCCTGGGCCGGGCGCTGCAGCCCATGGCGGACAAACCCGGGCATTGTCCTGGGGGGTGCGGGGCGGGCGGAAGGGGTGGCAGATAAGAACCCATCACACTCACGCCCCAGCTGTCACAGATACGGCCCAAAGAAGCTGCAACAGTTTCAAGTGCTTTTTTCCAAGGCTGTGGGGACAAACTAGCCCAAGGTTGTGGAGCTCAAAGTGACCAGGACAGGAGCAGGTGTTCGGCCAAGTGGTTAAGAGGCCCACGGTGCACTCCAGAACGCCAGGGGCTCCACCCCCAGCCGCAGGCCCCGACTCCAGCTTCCTGCTAACACAGACACGGGGTGGGGGGCAGTGCCAATGGCTGGAGCAGGTGCGGTGGGAAACCTGGATTGAGTGTAAAGCTCCCGGTTCCGGCGCTGACCCAGTGTCTGCTTTTGTGGGCACTCAGGGAGTGACCAGCATGTGGGACTCTCTCTCACTCTATTTCTCTCTGCTTTTTATTTGATTTTATTTTACTTGAAAGTCAGAGTTACACAGAGAAGAAGAGGCAGAGAGAGGAAGAGAGAGAGAGAGAGAGAGAGAGAGAGAGAGAGAGGTCTTCCATCCGCTGGTTCACTCCCCAAATGGCTGCAATGGCTGGAGCCAGGAGCTCCATCCGGGTCTCCCATGCAGGTGCAGGGGCCCAAGGACTTGGGCCATCCTCCACTGCTTTCCCAGGCCATAGCAGAGAGCTGGATCGGAAGAGGAGTAGCTGGGACTCGAACCAGCGCCCATAAGGGAAGCCAGCACTGCAGACGGCGGCTTTACCTGCTACGACACAGCGCCGGCCCCTGTCTGCCTCTTGAAGAATAATAATTTTTTAAAAAGCCAATGACATGCTTGTACTGTCCAATCTGCACTACTGGGAGAGATTCACAGGGAGAAGCCCTTGCCAGGCTCCAGGGCGGAGGCCAGGGAATCTTCCGAACGTAGGCTCCCCTCCGCCAGTCGCTCGCCCCCGGCTGGGAGCTGAGAACCGTGCAGGGGCTGTCACCGGGAACACCTGCCCGGGGCCTCCTGGCGCTCTCTCAGCTCGCTCACAGCCTGGCCGCTGGCTTCCCCAGCTGGTCTGAGAGTGAGTGCCGGAGCCAGCCAAGCGGAGGCCACAGCGCCTTCCTGCTCCCAACTGGGAAGCCACACAGGTGGGGCCAGGTGTTTGGCTGAGCGATTAAAGATGCTGGCACCGGGGGCTGCCGTGGTGCAGAGGGTGAAGCCGCCGCCTGTGACGCCAGCATCCCACATGAGCAGTGGTTCGAGTCCCAGCTGCTCCGCTTCCTAACCAGCTCCCTGCTAATACACCTGGGAAAGCAGCAGCAGATGGCTGGAGTCTTAGGCCCCTGCCACTCACATGGGAGGCCCAGATGGAGCTCCGGGCTCCTGGCTTTGGCCTGGCCCAGCCCTGGTTGTTGTGGCCATCTGGGGAGTGAACCAGCGGATGGAAGACCTCTCTCTCTCTCTAACTGTGCCCATCAAAATGCCTACATACCATAGGGGAGCGTGTGACTCCACCTTCCTGCTAACGGTAGCGGATGAGAGCGGAGAGACACATCAGAAGGCAGAGCTGTACAAAGGCCCTGAGGTGGGAGGGCGCCCTTGGGAAACTTGAAAGAAAGCCCAGTGGCCCCAGCCAGGGGGCACAGACCACACAGCGCCTTATGAGGGCACTGGGAGAAACAGGAGCTCCATCCGGGTCTCCCACGTGGGTGGCAGGGGCCCAGGCCCCAGAGCCATCACCTCTGCCTCCCAGGCTGCGCCAGGCAGCCTGATGTGGGACGCGGGGGTCCCAGTGGCACTGTAACCCGGCACGGGCCTGCAGACAGAGGTGCCGCAGGGGGAGCAGAGCGGCAGGAGGAGGCAGGGAGGGTGCGCTGGCTGGGACAGCGGGGTCCTAGCACAGGGAGGGAGCGGCAGCCGTGGGAGGCAGAGAGGGGGAGGAAGGAGGGAGCGTGGCGTGGACGTGGCTCCCCCGCAGTTTCAGAACCTCCCCCCTCCCCAAGGTAGCAGCCGCCGCAGGCTATCTGGACAGACCGTTCTACACCTCCTGGCAGCCTGTCCCCAAAGCCCAAGGACACATGTGCGACCCAGACAAGCCGACAGGGGCCGGCGTGGGCCTGTATCCCATATCAGAACAACTGGGTTTGAGTCCCGGTTCTACTCCCTGCTAATGCACCTGGGGAAGTAGTGGGAGATGGCCCAAGTGCTGGGGCCCCTGCGCCCGCATGGGAGACCCGGATGGAGCTCCTGGCTCCTGGCTCCTGGCTGTGGCCTGGCCCAGTCCTGGCTGTTGCAGGCATTTGAGGAATGGAAGTTATCTTTGTGTCTCTCTGTCTCTCTGCATTCCAAAGAAAAAAGCTATTTAAAAAAATAAAAAGAAAAGCCGACAAGGGTGGGACTTTTGCCTAGTGATTAAGATACCAGGGAACATGCAGGTGCCTGGGGCTGTCCTTGGGGCACAGCGGGTGAAGCCACTGCTTGGACAGAACACCAGCGTCCCATGGGAATGCCAGGGGGGTCCTGGCTGCTCCACTTCTGACCCAGCTCTCTGCTGTGGCCTGGGAAAGCAGTGGAGGATGGCCCAAGTCCTTGGGCCCCTGCACCCGCGTGGGAGACCCGGAAGAAGCTCCTGGCTCCTGGCTTCAGCTTGGTTGAGCCTCGGTTGTTGAGGCCATTTGGGGAATGAACCAGAGGATGAAACATTTCTCTCTCTTAAGTAAATAAATAAAAGTAATTTTAACATTCATTTCATTTATTTGAAAGGCAAAGGGGAGAGGCAGGGAGAGGTCTTCCATCCACCGGTTCACTCCCTGGATGGCTGCATCAGCCGGAGCTGGGCTGATCTGAAGCCAGGAACCAGGAGCTTCCTCCGGATCTCCCACGGCGGTGCAGGGTCCCAAACACTCAGGCCATCTTCTACTGCTTTCCCAGGTACACTAGCAGGGAGCTGCATGGGAAGTGGAGCAGCCAGGACTCGAACCGGTGCCCATATGGGATGCCAGCACTTAACCCGCTATGCCACAGTGCCGGCCCCAGTAAACAAACTCCTAAAACCTTATTCCCATGCGTGAGTCGTATGAGTGGACACCCGGGGCAACTGATGCTTGGTGAGGCTGTCCTGCTTCCGGCAGAGACATTTTAAACCTGAAATTGTGGAGAGGATTGCGCGGGGTCTCGGCACCCACTATGTCAGCTTCGGGTGGACCCCCAAGGGTGAGCCCCTGTGCTCACGGGCTCCCCTGGAGTCTAAATGCGCTAAGCGCCTAGGAGAGGCGCAGGGTGCGTGCGCGCCTCCGACTCCCCGACACCTGCCGTCTGACACGCGCGGGCGTGGAGCTGGAAAGCGGAATTGGAGGCTGAGGGTCGCAGGTCCGCCTGGGAACCCTGGTTTGGGAACTGAATGAGTGAGGTCGTAGGTTTGCAAGGTTGGGTGTTCTGAGACTCTGGGCTGGAATGGAGCGGGAGGGCGGACAGCCGCCTGCAAGTGTGGATGCCCCGGTCGGTTC